AATAACACCCTGTATATGCGGAGAATACATGTTTCAACAAAACAGACAAACTATTACTGACTTTGTAAAGCGAGCGTATCTTGGATATTTTGGAGTTAATCTTGGTGATCAGGTCAAAAAGTGGGCCCGCATTTCGTATGTAAAACTTGTACAGAGCATTTACGGCAGCGGACTACCGGGAAAAGAAAATGTCTAAAATTTGGTGTACCAATGGTTTGGATAGAACCAAAAAACCACTTCAATGATTGTTATTTCTGTTTAGTAAATACTAAAGGAATCAATCGAAATAACCGCAGTAAGTGGACTTGGCAATACGCCCTATCCCACACTCAGATGAAATATCGATTCCAACATTTCATCAGCTAACAGATATCTCTGATGACGAATATTTTCCCTCTGGTCGCTGTTCTGATGCTAATGAAACGAACAGTGACTATGAGGAAACGTCATCAGTTCCTCAACGCTTCAATCAAAATGAATTAAATGATCTTACTAGGGATCTCAATTTATCGAAAAAAGCTTCTGAAGTACTGGCCTCTAGGTTGAACGACAAAAATTTATTGGAACAAGGAACCAAAATTACCTTTTACCATTCTTTTCTCAAGAAGACAATCTTGTATTATGTCATGAAATTAATGGATTTATGAAAGAAATGGGACTTTTTGAATATATTCCAGATGATTGGCGCCTATTTATTGACAGTTCAAAGCGAAGTTTAAAATGTGTCCTTCTACATAATAGGAATAAATATGGTTCAATACCACTAGCTCACTCAACGAAACTGAAAGAAGAATATAATACCGTAGCTTTGGTCTTGCAGAAGATAAAGTATCACGAACATGAATGGATGATTTGTGTAGACTTAAAAATGGTAAACTTTCTTCTTGGACAGCAAAGTGGTTACACCAAATATCCGTGTTTCTTGTGCCTCTGGGGTAGTAGGGACAAAACACACCACTGGGTTAGAAAAGATTGGCCTCAAAGAGAAAACATGGACGTTGGGGAAAAGAATGTCATTAACGACGCTTTGGTTGAAAAAGAAAAAATCATACTTCCTCCGTTACATATAAAGTTGGGCTTAATGAAATAACTTGTAAAGGCTCTTGATAAGAATGGGTCATGTTTTGTATATATAGGGGTAAAAATGCAATATTTGAGAACAGAGAAACTCAAAGCAGGGATATTTGACGGCCCACAAATAAGACAATTAATTAAGGATCCTGCCTTCATAAACTCAATGAATCAAGTTGAACGAGAAGCTTGGACATCAATTGTTACAGTTGTAGAAAATTTTCTAGGCAAACATAAAGCTCCAAAACTATGTTGAAATAGTTAACAAGATGCTTAATAGTTTCAAATTATTAGGGTGCATATGAGTATTAAAATACACTATTTACACAACAACTTAGACCATTTTCCAGAAAATTTAGGAGACATGAGTAAGGAACAAGGTGAAAGATTTCATCAAGATAATTAAGTTATGGAGGACCGCTACCAAGGAAGATGGGACATGCACATGAAGGCAGATTACTGCTGGAGTTTAAAAAGGGACTGTTTAGAAAAACATTCAAGAATGTCGCGGAAAAGAAGCTTTCGACTATTTGATTTTGATGTTTTTTTTTTGTTTGTAAGTACAACATATTATTGTGTTTTGTATAACTAAAATAAAAATCTGATGTGTCCAACACATGACTTTCCTATCTAGTTATTATAGGCTTTATAGGCGGTTATTTTGTACAACCTATTATACCTCCTCTATAAATATTTAGAGAATAAACTAAATATACACATTTTCCACATACATTTAACTCGAAACATTTTTTTACAGATATTCATTGAAAACGAAAGTACTGAAAATTTTAAATTTAGTATTTTTCTCCAATTTTTCCATTACGGTTCATTTTCGCAAAATCATGTAAAAACAAAAATTATAGAGATCAATATCGCAAACAACTTTTAGTTTAACAATTTTCTTAAAAATCAGAATTTTGCACATTTTGTCAAATTTCTCGAATACGGACCATTTCAGGAAATTTTGACATAAAACAAAAATTATAGATAATAATATTAGAAGTAACTTTTAATTAAACAATTTTCTTCTCCAAACATAAATAACAGATATATTCCAGAAAATATAAAAACGGCCTCCCATAAAGTACCCACCCAGATGTTCCGACTTTGTCCAAAATCTAATCATTTTACGTCAGGCCGAAATAAACCTTAAGTTTAAAATTTAATGTTTTTTTCTTTATCCGTTTTTGAGTTTTCTCCAAATTCGAAATTTACACATTTTCTCAAATATCTCGAATACGGTCCATTTTAGAGAAATTATGTATGGAACAAAAATTATAGAGAATTATATTACAAACATCTTTTATTTAAACAATTTTTATAAAAAAATATTTTTTTTTTACATTTTGTCAAATTTCTCGAATACGGACCATTTTAGGAAAATTTTGCCAAAAACAAAAATTATAGATAATTATATAAGAAGTAACTTTTATTTGAAGAATTTTCTTCTCCAAACGTAAATAACAGATATATTCCATAAAATATAAAAATGACCACCTATAAAGTACCCCCCCAGATGTTCCGACTCTGCCCAAAATCTAATCAGCTCATTAGACACTGGAATAAAGCTTAAGTTTGAAATTTGGTGTTTTTCCGTGTATCGGTTCATGAGTTATGCGTTATACAGACACACACACAGACACACACACACACACACACACAGACAGACATCATCGCGAAAATAGTCAAAACGGATTCAGGGGACCTCAAAACGTAAAAATCCGTCGAAAACTCGAGGTCGAAAAAAATCATGATTCCTATACTTTCCTTATATCTGTATACAGATAGAAAAGTAAAACTTTCGTATCTACTTTTGTTTACTACACTTACGGATTTGAGTTAAAATAATGTAACTTTTATTACTTTCCTATCTGTATACAGATATAAGGAAAGTATAGGAATCATGATTTTTTTCGACCTCGAGTTTTCGACGGATTTTTACGTTTTGAGGTCCCCTGAATCCGTTTTGACTATTTTCGCGATGATGTCTGTGTGTGTGTGTGTGTGTGTGTGTGTGTGTGTGTGTGTGTGTGTGTGTGTGTGTGTCTGTGTGTGTGTCTGTGTGTGTGTCTGTATAACGCATAACTCATGAACCGATACACAGAAAAACACCAAATTTTAAACTTAAGCTTTGTTTCAGCGTCCAATGAGCTGATTAGATTTTGGGCAGAGTCGGAACATCTGGGGGGGTACTTTATAGGTGGTCATTTTTATATTTTATGGAATATATCTGTTATTTACGTTCGGAGAAGAAAATTCTTCAAATAAAAGTTACTTCTAATATAATTATCTATAATTTTTGTTTTATGCAAAATTTTCCTTAAATGGTCCGTATTCGAGAAATTTGACAAAATGTAAAAAAAATAATTTTTTATAAAAATTGTTCAAATAAAAGTTGTTTGTAATATAATTCTCTATAATTTTTGTCCTATACATAATTTCTCTAAAATGGACCGTATTCGAGATATTTGAGAAAATGTGTAAATTTCGAAATTTGAAGAAAACTCAAAAACGGATAAAGGAAAAAACATTAAATTTTAAACTTAAGGTTTATTTCGGCCTGACGTGAAATGATTAGATTTTGGACAAAGTCGGAACATCTGGGGGGGTACTTTATGGGAGGCCGTTTTTATATTTTATGGAATATATCTGTTATTTATGTTTGGAGAAGAAAATTGTTTAAATAAAAGTTACTTCTAATATTTTTATCTATAATTTTTGCTTCATGTCAAAATTTTCTGAAATGGTGCGTATTCGAGAAATTTGACAAAATGTGCAAAATTCTGATTTTTATGAAAATTGTTGAACTAAAAGTTGTTTGCGATATCGATTTCTATAATTTTTGTTTATACATGATTTGTCTAAAATGGACCGTAATGGAAAAGTGCTTAATTTAAATTTTTCTGTATTTTCGTTTTCAATGAATATCTATAAAAAAATGTTTCGAGGTAGATGTATGTGTAAAATGTATATATTTAGTTTATCCTCTAAACATTTATAGAGATGCTGCAATAGGTTGTACAAAATAACCGGAAAATGCCTATAATAATTAGATAGGAAAGTCATGTGTTGGACACATCAGATTTTTTCTCTAAAATTGTATATCTTAAAAAATTTGAGCTCCTAGGTAAAAATGAATACGTTATTTGAATTCAGGACACCAAATTTATACAGAATCAGCTCAAAAAACTTCGACACCAAAACAGCTGTTCCTCAGTGTTATCATTATGATATTTCAAAATTTAAAGCCCTTTGATTTTTATCTTGGAAACTGGAAGAAATTAAAACTTTAAAATATATGCATATTCTAGATATTTAAAAAAAAATTGTTTTTTGAGATATGCTTGTCCGAAAATTATGAGGAGTACTGTAATCACCTTAATACAAGTGTATCTTCTACATAGTATAACGCTTGCACTCGGATTTATTTTCACAATATCATTGATGTACGATAAGAAGAGTATCGGTGAGAAAACTGTTCTTTGAGGAATACCAATAATATTAATTTGGTTTTTAAAATTTTAATAATGTAATTAAAGAAGGCATAAAAAATGTATCTAGCAAACATAGTATTAGCAATATTTTTTGGGGGAAGTTTTAATTGAATTAGGTAGGCAATTAGATCAAATAAATATTATAGTAAAATAACAGAAATGTGTTAAGGCAAGCTATGGACTACAATATTCAAATGTTCCAAATTTACCTTCAATTCCAAACACTACAAAATGTATAGCCAGTTCGCAAATCAATACACAAAATCTAATAACACCAGGCATGTTGTACAAGAGCACTTAATTTTTTAAATAATTAACTCAACCATACATTTATTATATTTTTTAATAGACGATTTAGGTATTTGTTAGAATAACAATGCAGGAAAATTATTTATAAACAATTATAAAAATATGTAATTACAGATTAATAAGTACCTGTTGAACCAGACGAAGGACCGAAAAACACCAACAAATTTAAACAAACACTAAAATATAAAACTTGTTTAAATATTGACATTGTAATTTAATTCACAAATAATTCGGGGGATACCGGTTAAAAGGTGTACAACCTAACCTAACATCAAATGATAGAAAATGAATAAAAGAAATTAATTTTATCTGCTGTTGCTTACTATTTATTGGTACAATTAAAATTAAATGTTTCTGATAATATTGCACATGTACATATGTAGATATATATAAGTTTTTTGGAATTTATGTAGATTTTTTTATAAACATTTTTACGAAGAGAATTTTTAAAAATGAAAAAAAATGTATGCAAGTGTACAAGGTCATGTTTATGTCCCTTATTTAAATATTTGAAATAGCTTATTTATACAGTAGAAACTTTAAATTAGATTTTTTCCACTTCATTAGAATTTAACAGGTAAGATTGAGCTTTTATTTTTGATATCAAGATCGTATCTTCAGTACATATATTTAGTTACATCATTGACTTAGACGCCAAAGAGTAGAGGCCCAAAAACAGAACCGTGTAGCAACCAATCGAAATTTTTGTCTTTAGCTTTGTTTATACGTACCAGTTTTAAATTTATCTCGTCTAAAATTGTAGTAGAAACTCCTGTGGTTCACACGACTCCAATTTCTCAACCAAGCGCAGTGACTGTTGGGCACTATCACGAACACAACCAAAACGAATAGAAATTTGTACTTTCGACCAACGATCATAACTAAACGGACTCATCTCTGTGATGAAGAAAAAGTATGAAGAATGCGGACGATTCTTCCGTCTGCGTATCAGACGGCAGACATTAAATGGAGTGTTTTCTTAGCGGTGACCGTTAACTCGTCTTGAATTAAAAAAATAAATAGATCGCCGCTGATGGCTATTAGACGACGAAGTGTGGCTACTGGTTTCGATAAAGAGATTGCAGAAAAAAGAGCACGCTTCGAAAGATAGTAGCAGTGGTAATAGTGGTAAGAGTAGTAACGATCACAAATGTACTTTACAGGGTGATACAATGCTACATACAGAAATTAACAGCTCTGTCATCTTTTTCGATTTGTATATTTACTGTCAATCACTCCGATAAGGCTACATTGTGAGATCAATTCTAACTTGGTAATGTAACTGTTACACTCTACAGGGTGTTACAACTTTTATGAAAAAATCACGTTATAATTGATACACCCTGAATTAATAAAAAAGAGGGTTTTATACAAACACAGTTAGCACACCGACGTTGTGAAAGAGACAACCTTTCATTTAAAAAAAAAATCGTCCAAATCAGAAAAGTGGTTTTGACAAATATTTACTTTAAACTTTTTGTTATTTTTTGATTGTGCGTCAATTTATTGGGGAAGTGTATATGGAAATTAATTAATTAATAATTAAAATGTTTTGATTGAGTTAAATAAAATATCAAAATTAAATATTTTTATTTTTAAGTAGACATTTTTAATCAAAAATAATATAGGCAAATACTCGAGGATATACGATAATTTTACACTTTACTCGAGTTTTTTGTATTAAACCATCGATCATTGTAATGAAACCAGCGGTAAAACAGATATTTGTGTGCCAAGGCTGTGTTTTGGCCGAATTAGACATTTGCGGCCGGGGCTAAGCGACTTCTGGTTAAGTATATGAGTAAAAGGCAAGAAATGGATGTTCAATAAAGATTAACATCGAGATAAACATCAGATAAGCAGGTGTATTGAAGATGAACTTTGCAGGACCCAGAATCATATAGGTATAATAATAATAATAGAGTTTATTCATACATATAAAAAATTATACAACAAAATAAAAATGGAAGCTGATCAATAAACTACAAAATCCTGCAAAGTCGCAACTTGTTGCAGGTAAAAAATATAATAAAAACTATGTAATAATAATAATAATAATAATAATATAAAACAATGTATCTTTACAGTGAAACATTAATTTATTAGATACAGAAAGACTAGACAGTAGAAAATATTTAAATTGGAACACAATAAAATATAATTATAAAATAAAATAAAATCCCTAAATTTCAATAAAGTTTGCAATAAACATTCTGCCTAGTTCAAGTATATATGTAATTAATTATTTTTTTTTTTTTTTTGAAAGTCAATAGATTTGAAGAGTTTGTTATGTTTTGAGGAAGTAGTTACAAAGTAGATACAAAAGTAGATACAAATTAAAAAGAAAAACATATTAATAACAGGACCAGACATGGACACGATGTGGACAGTAGACTAAGAAAAATCTTGACAGCCTTTGCCACGGAGTGTTAGGTAAGTGTGATCTTCACCTCTCACAAATAATGTTACTTTAGTGTTATACCCTTCTTTTACAGCTATAGAGTATAACAGGAAATTAAATACATAATTTTGTTGTCAAAAGCCATTTTGTTGCGATTTTTTTGAAATTACAATAATATATTTTTTGTTTCAGGTCAAGAGACAATGCATTGTAGACTTTTAGTCTAATATAAGTATAGTTTCGTTGAACTAGAGTGATTCTACATTTGGGTAGTGTCATACTGTGATTTATACGAAATCTTGTGTTATACTGACGAGTTCCTAGGTTTATTTCTCTTGTTTTGATTACGTGTAGCAATGATTGTTTATAAAATAAGTTTCTGATAGACAAAATGTTACAATGTTGAAAAAGATTCTCAGTGGGGTATCGAAAATCTAATTTAAAGATTAATTTTAATATTCGTTTCTGAATTATTTCTAATGGTTTCAAGGTTGTTGCATAAGCTCCTCCCCAACTTATAATACCATAAGTTAATACAGATTGCACTAAAGCATAATAGGTTGAAATGAGTTCGGATTCGCGCATTATCTTCGATATCGTTTTGAATATATATAATAATGATCTAAGTTTTTTAACCATGTTGTTAATTTGAAAATTTCACTTCAAGCAGCCGTCGATTGTTATTCCTAAATATTTAGCACTAGATGACTTTGTTAAAGACCACGATGTATTTTGGAAGGGTAAGTCAATTACTATAGGGTTTAAGCTAAGATCATTCTTAAAGTTTGAAAATGGTAGATAAATGGTTTTTTCTAAGTTGATAGTTAACAGATTTTCATCAAACCAATGTATTACTTTTTTTAAGTCGGTTTTCAACCTAATTTCGACTTCCGCCCACGTGCTACCTTCAACAATCAGTACAGTGTCATCAGCAAAAGAGATCACTGTGCCTTTTGTTTTTGAGGAGAGTAATTCATTTAAATATAAGATGAATAAGATAGGTCCTAGTACTGTTCCCTGCGGGACACCATATGTGATTTCTTTGGTTGTACTCCGTTGACCATTTACCTCTACCAATTGCGTCCTATTAGTAAGATAGCTTTTTAATAGCGTATGTGCATTCCCTCGGATTCCAATAATATAAAGCCTTGACAAAAGCCTTTGATGGCTTATAGTATCGAATGCTTTTGCCAAGTCGATAAATATACGTGCACACTTCTTACTCTCACCTAGGCTTTCGGAAATTTTTTTAGTAACACAAGCAATGGCATCATTTGTTGATTTTTGTTCTCTAAATCCGAATTGCATATCACTTAACAAATTATTTTTTTCAACAAAATTGGTAATTCTAGTTTTAAATGTTTTTTCAAATATTTTTGTCACATTTGAAATTAGACTTATAGGCCTATAATTTTCAGCTTTGGTTTTTTCCCCTTTTTTAAATATAGGTTTAATAACAGCTACTTTAAACTGTGGCGGGCAGATACCCTGCTCAAACATTAAATTAATTAAATAAGTAAGATGATATTTGATTTATTACTTCTTTAAGCAATTTTACGGTTATTCCATCTATCCCTGGAGATACACTTGTTTTTAAGGAGGATATGTTTTCTTTTATTTCTAGTTCTGTGACCGGCTTTAGGAAAATTGTATTTTTATTGTATACCGTGGCGCAGTCAGTAAAAGCTTCCTTTTTATTATCAGTTATATGTTTTGCCAGGCTTTTTCCTACTTGTATGTAGTGAGTATTGAAAATTTCACTTATTTTTGTTTTGATTGTTTCGGTTTTTCCAGCTCCATCAAAAAGTTCTGGAATACATGTAGATGTACAGCCCGAACTTTTATTAGTGTATTCATTAACGGCTTCCCAAATTTTTTTACAGTTTTTTTGATTATTTAATATTAAATGTTTGTAATAGTCTTGTTTTACCTGATGTATTAAATTGTTAATTTTGTTTCTATGTATTTTATATGTCCTAAAGGCATTGTCAGTTTTATACTTCCTATATGCTTTGAATAGTCTATCTCTTTCTTTCATAGATTGGATTATTCCGTCAGTTATCCACGGTTTTTTTTTTTTTGGTTTAATTTTTATATTTGCAGATGTTGTGGCTGTTGCTACGCTTAAATTAACAATATTTATAAACTTATTTGTAGCCAATTCAACATTATTAGTTTGGAATATTTCAGCAAAAGACTTATCATTTAAAGAAGTTCTTAGTTTATTATAATTAATGTAATTCTTAGTTACAAAATTAGGTTTGTTTTATATTTATTTTTTATTTATTAATGGATTATTAATTTGAAGAATTGTAGGGCTGTGATCTGTGATTTTTGAGTGTAGTATGACTGGGATTAAAAGATTAGAGTCGATAAAATTACTCTTAAAGAAGATGTGGTCTAAGCAACTTTTAGAGTTTTTTCAATTCTGGTATAATCATTGATAGTAGACTTGAATCCTGATTCGTATAAAACGTTTAGATATTCGTTTGCTTCTTCCGATGGGGTTAATATGTCGATATTTATGTCACCTACAATTACTTCTGTTTCTTTCAGTGAGGTATTTTGTAAATAGTTAGCTAATGAATTTATGAAGTCCTCAGTTTTAATATCATGAGGTTTATAAATACATGTAATTTCCATGGTTTTACTTTCAATATTTAAAAATACTCGTATACATTTAATGCCAGCAATATCGATAATGTGTGTCTCAAAATTATAATCATTATTAATATAAACTAAGACCCCGTATAACTTGATATTCTTAAAATCATGCATACTACACTGAATAAGAACGAATGGAAGTGTCAGAAGGAGGCTAAAGTCAAAAAAATAGACGGAACAGAGCTAAATAGATAGATAAGTAATATTTAAGCCAGGAGAGAGTCTATGAACGTTATAAATATGCTAAATTTATTAATGTATTGTTAATTTATAATATCAGTTTATTTTCTTTT